ATCACGTGACCTCAGAATAAAATATTCAATAAATAGAGTTGTAATAAAGATAGAGCGTAGAAACTTTTTATTCCAAAGCTAAAAGACTTCTCTAAGTAATATATAAATATGTATTCAATAATTTTTACTTTTCCGGCTGTTATATATAACAGAAGAAAAGTGTAGCGCTCAGTCAAAAAATGACCCCTCCCAAATTTTTACATTTTTGGACTCAGGACACCTTGAAATTTCGAGATACGCAAAAGATTCAAGGTTTTTTTCTATATGTGTGGATGTTAGACTGTGTGTGGGGGGCATGATTTCGTTCACTCTGTTTGAAGTCTAATAATTTCTGTGATCAGAGTGGTCAGAATCGGAGTCGGATGGTTTAACACAGGAGTTAGTTATTTAGCGTCAAAGTGGTTGAACTAACTCGTGTCCCCATATACATTCTAACATCTTAGGCAAGAACGTCTTAACGGGTTTTACTGTACTATTATAAAATGGCAAAAAAGCTTACTTTGAGAGTAAAGACGAGTTTTGTTATTTTTTTAAATTTCGAATGCTAATAACGCGTAAAATATTCATTGAGATATGACACATGACCACTTTTATGTTTTTACCCTGTCAACCTTTAATTAAGAACCAAAATTTAATAGTATTAATGCCCCTATATACGCAAGTTACAGTGCCACATTTCGTTTCTTAAACTTTACCCATTCTGAGATATTGTTTAATATCTCAGAACAGAAAATAAAGAAATTAAACAAATTAGACACCAACACACATGCACATGCAAATTTTTTCCCTTTATTGACTTTTTTGAGGGGTTTGGGAGGTCTCCAAACGTATAGATTTGCAAAAAAAAGAAAAAAAATAACTTGGAGTGTCAAATTTGACACGATTCCAATACTTTTCCGTTTTATATACATAACAAGTTGGTAAGTAAAAAGGAGTTGGAGTCGGCGGATGTTTTGATGACTCCGACTCCGGCTGAAACACCAAAACTCCACGACTCCGACTCCAACTCCACAGCCCTGCACAATAGATATCAGTTAGCAGGATCTTGTAATCCACTATAGGCATTATCCCTCTAGCCACCAGTATGCCTCCTCACTCTACTGGCTTCAGCATGTAGGTTATGCCCTCCAGGATAGCAACAGATTTGCAAAGCTGATTCTTCTTGGGAAACTGATTCTCTTTACTAGCTAGAAGAAACTTTACATAGTTCACCATACCACAGGCTGGGACATGAGCAACTTCATTTGTTTGCTCTGTATCATTAGGTAGGATGAAAGAGTTAGTGAAGAGGGTAAGATTTTTCAGGATCATAGCCTTCAGTTTCTGTAGCAATTTAGGTCTTAAATTTGGAAATTTCATTGTTCTCTGTGGCTAATCAGAGATTTCACTAACAAACACAAAGATTAAAAGCTGTAGATGATGATAAAGTCCCTACAACTGGGGCTTTGGACAGACTACCAAAGCAGTCTCTTCTATGCTTCAGTAACACCCTAATTGAATGATGCCAGACAAATGCACCACACAAGTCTAAATGAGTACACACCAAAGACAATACCTTCATAAGAATACTGTTCATAGCAACTATGTTGACCATCTTTTTCAAGCCATATACTTAGGGAACCTACTATATTTTCCTCAGTGATGCTGATACCTATTGAAAATCAGCCATTGGACTATGACTGTACTAGTCTCCCCTTTATTTTGACATTAGTTGCTTGCCATTATGTTATTACACAGCTCTTTTTCCATTTGTCTAAATGGAAATAGGTTTCAGTTTCAGGCAAATTCAGAAATCCCAAAAGAAGGCTGTGGATATGGACAGGGCTGTCAAACAACAAATTTAATAAGGACTGGAATACAGACTCAAAATTTCTAACACTTCTAGAACCTTAGATCTGAGCATTACACTCCATAAGCAGTTGAAGCTGAGATTGAAACTTATAGCATTCAACCTTAATCATCTCAGGCTGTTAGGTTCCTTTCCCACACAAGACTGATTCCTTGCTTTGGGGAAGGTACTGCTGTGTTATCAATGACCCTCATACCATTACTTGGAGTGACTAACTGTCATACGAGATGGTTCCACAGTGTGACATTGAACAGTAGAAGCAGGATTAAAGCATTCACCTGTTATTGTCCATTCCTAAACATTATTGGGGAGTTTTTGCTAAAGATGATAAGAAGCCAGTCCATAGCAGTCCATGCTTCTCTGCTATGATACCACTGCAAACAAAGCCAATGCTGCTGGGTGATAATGTCATACATGCAAGCAAGTTGGAAAGTGACTAGGGGAGGAAAATGGTATAGGAAGAGACAGGGTTCATTACAGAGATTTTGTCTGTCTCTGATGTTGTTGTAGCTATTTTTACTTGTCTCACAATTGTCCCTCCTAGTGATCTGTGACACCCAGAGCCTTGCAGCCATGTATGTGTACCCTGACATATCTACTATTGTCAATACCAATCCTGCAAAATGGCCATCCTTTGACTTTTCTCAAACTTTGTCAGCTGTGTGTAATGTGTTTGACTGTGTTGTTCAGGCCATTGATCTGGTATCCTAGCAGGGGTATAGTCATAAATTAAAAAGTGCCAAGGTGCTAACTGGTGCTCCAAGTTTAAATTGTCACTGTCTATGGAGTTTCAATGGGCAAAGCACAACTTTGTGACACAATATCTGCAAAATGGCTTAAATGCACCAAAAATGACCTATATATTTTTAACCAGCACAAAAACTATGCAAGAAGTAATTTTTTTCAGTTATTTTTTGGCTGAGGTACTGATAGTCTAAAATCCAATCTAGATGTTCACAAAGTACAAGGACTTTTCATCTTGCTTAAAATAGTACCAGGGTGCCACCCTGATATGCCCTGGCACGACTACAGCACTGATTTAATGACTTTTAAATAACAGGTACACAGGCTCACTGCTGAGAACAGAGTGAGTCTTTACATAAGATACTAAGGTAGCAATTTTAAGTCCCTCTGGTGGCATTAAATTTGTGGTCCAATTGCATGGTAATCATTTACATAGCTATATGCTAATTTTGCAGTAATTGGATAGTGTGGTGATGCAGGTTGATGAAAACCACGTGTTATAAACAATATACATTAAACCATTTTCATTTAGGAATACAATGACAATATCAATTTATTTTCTATCAACATTAATTTACAATATTCTCCCTTCTATTGCCCTTTCTTAACAGTACTATTTGTTTTCCTGACAATTGTGAATCCTGAAGCCGGCATGTGGAAAATCCATTTCCATCATCTTATATTAGTAATTAAAACTAGAATTATTTTAGATTAATACTAATACTAATAGAATTAGAGAAGGAAGGAAGGAAAATTAGGTTGTTACAGGATCCCCTTTCTTTTGTCCTGCAAGTTGGGCACTTAAGGTGTTGACCACAGTTAATAGAGAAATTCAACCTCACCACGTGGACCTCCTTTGTCGAGACAAAAAAAAACTCCACTTATGACCTTTTCTTTACTTCTTAATATCACAAATTTCAAGCACTATCTCATATGTTCCACTGCATGAGTCTTCTTTCTTGGACCCCTTCTCTGCTGTTGCCACATGCCTTCTTCCTGCCCCTTGGCCAAGAATGACAAAATTCATCCTTTTTACTCCATGCCCTTGGTTGATACTCCTTCTAGACCAAAACCCGCCAGAAGATAAATATTTTACAGTCGAAGGGGTTAGGAAATAGAAAATGATAGAGTTAGTTAGGGTAGATTGGATGAAGTCATAAAATTTATCAATTTACTAAATTAAATAAAAATAAAAAAAATATATACATACCAGATAGAATTAGTGGGACCCACCACAATAATTCTATCTGGTGCATAGCTGTTTGTCAATGAGCATATTTTAAAATTTTAATATAGTAATATACAGAATTTTGAGCTTCAATTTATGCTTAATAAAAAAAGAATTATTATTAATTTTCTACTTTATTATTTTGTATCACTATAGAAAGGGGTTGATAGATTAAATGTAAATTTTCAAAAAAGAATCAAGTATAAAAGTTTGGGAATCTCTATTTAACTGAAATTTGAAACAATTTGCTTAGTTTATGCATAACAATTTACATAGATACTGTATGTCACAATGCCTTGAATAAATTGGAGAACTTCTAATGTAGCTCTTCACTTCAGTTTGAGGATTTCATTATTTAGTGTTAGATTGGACTGGTGGTTACGGCCATTAGAGACATAGATTTATTTAAGCATTCTAAATGAAGAAGAGTTTCTATTCAATTGTAAAATAATAGAAGATGTTAATAAAATATTTCTAGTAAAGAGAAATAGAAACTAAATTACAAAGAAATTTTGTAAAATGGCAGTATTTTTACTGTTTTTTTAATCCTGAGATATTAATTTTTGCTTTATTATTTATTGGCATAAATGTTTCAAAACTTTATGGTCTTTTACATATCAAACAAATCATTTTTTTCTATAGTTATATTATGAAAACTCTTCAACTTACAATTGAACCAAAATATTTTCCAATCTTTAGAAATTCTAAAGTCATATCTGTTTTTGGTCCTTTTGATTAAAATATAAATGTATACCAGTTGATGTTTTAGTAAGAGAAAAAGTTCACAATTTATCTGAATAACTATATATATATATATGTATATATATATTGAACATGTAAAAACAATGAATTCCAACAAAAAATGTCTTGTCAATTTCAGTCCTGTGATAATTGAGGTGCCTCACTTCGCTTCATTACGAGGAAAGGAAAGGGAAATAACTATTCTGCGAAGCGATAATGGCGAAACGTGGAGAGACCACACTCTCGAAGCATCTGAAGAAGCAGTTCAAGAAGTGTTAAATGATAGTTTTGAAGGAGAAGGTAAAATTATTTTTCTTTGTAAAATATTGAATAATAATTTAGTATTTTTTTAAACTTCAAACATCTTAATAATACCTAGTATTTTGTTCAAAATATTTTCTGTATTCTAAAAATGATCATGAAATCTGTTGGCAAAATTTATTCAAATATTTGTTATCTCATATATTACTTGTATTTACACCAATTCCTTAGAAAAAGAAAACTCTACAACATTGTAATAAGTGTTAAAGTTATATTGAATAATTTAACTTAAATAGTGGGTGAAGTTTAAAGAATGCTAACATTTTTGACCCGGTTAATGAATCATCCTCAGGCACAAACAGTTGGAAGTGTAATGCCAATATTAATAAGAAAGGAAGGTGGCATAGAATAAACAAGCAAGGGGATAAACTATTACTGTTACAATTGACACAAATTACACTCTGTTATCCACACATGAATAAACATCTGGGATGAGGACTTCCCTGTGCTTGGCAATGTCTTCTTTGCCTTTCAAATCATCTGCTGCAATTGTAATCTAATCCCTGTTTATTTATTGTATCCTATCTTTTCTTACCAATGCTGGCATTTCATATTCAACCATGCATACCCGACGATGATCTGTTAAGATTTTTTAAACTTGCTTGGCTGAACTTACTCACTTTTAAAGAGTTCATTGATTAACTACAGTGGCTAGTTCATCTTAATTGGTGGTGTAGCTAGGGGGGGTGCGGAATGGACAGTCTGCTCTGAGCAGTACTTTTTTGGGGCAGCATTTTTAGCATTATAAAAATTCATGCTGGTTGGTGTCTGATTGGTATCACAACTACCTTTGGTCCAACCTTAACTGCAACACAGTGGATAAAAGGGTAAAGATGCAAAATGTCTGTTGTTCCCGGGCTCAATTGGCCAAAAGTGCATTTGATAAAAAGGTATCTACCCTGACTGATTGCTTCAAAAGCAGTTTAACAAATTCATATTGGGGACTAGCCATTTTGGAGCATCTTGATTCACTTCCTACCTCCCTTAACATGGCAGAGGGATATTCCCTCCATACTATTTGGGTCGTAATGGCATGTAACATCCGTACTCCTACCAATTTGGGTTACAGAGCATAAAATTTTGTCAATCTTTCTCTGTTCCTTCTCCACTGGGGAAATGGATCTTGATCTAGGAATAGGTTATAGCAAGGTATAATGCATGGGGTTGTCCTTGCAGATTAGTGGGCTGTGATCGCAGAGAAAATTGATGTGGTGGGTGACTTTGTGAGCTCAGGAAATAACGCAAGGTTCTTGCCCCACTGATTGCCCTATCTGTTTCTTGGGTTTTCTCTGTTGGCTTGGTGCTGGCTGTTGATCTAACCTCCTCCTTATCATTACTAATTGTTTTGACAATTGAGAAATTGTTGCATCGAGTACCGATTTTCTTCACATATTTGTTTCCACTGACTGTGTGCCACAACCATCTACTGCATCCCCGATGCTAGTGACTAAACTCCATGTTTTACTTGCCAGCTGATCTATTGTCGCCTCACATATGGTCACTCTCTGCGCTTCTGCAAAGGTTGGCGGGTCATCTGTCATTATTTGTCAACTTGTGCAGGAATTAGACTTGCAATTTTTCATCCAATTCCTACTGTTGACAGCATTTAATAATTGCACTCTCCTGCTTGTTTTTGTCTGTCTGTTTTATAATTGTTGTGATGGCAAGGGCTTGCAGACGGAATGCAAATTCCTATACCTTCTCATCTCACCTCTGTGTGCACATGTGAATGAAATAGGGTTCATGATTGAACCATTCAATCATCAACCGCTGGAATGTATCAAAATCTGTTACACATTTCATGTTTAAGTCATGCCATGCAAAATCTTGAGCCATGCTCATGAGCTTGCATTTGGCAATACTCAAGCACTGCTGAGGTGACCACCTGGTCAAACTTGCTATCTCCCCGTGTGTTGAGGAAATTGGTGACATGCCCCGATTATCCTGAGTACATCAGGATCACCCCTCTGAACACGGAAAAAGAGAAAAGAGAACAGCTACTGCTGCTGTCACAAGGATGTGCTGAGGCACCTGCATCTGCCACCATTCTCCAACCCACTTTCAAACGAAACTCTTTTTCATTGGCTTCTGGGAGTTTTGAGGAACTGTATTCATCACATCCTGATATGTAATGTTACAGAAAATATTCTGAACTTCTAACACCAGTGTGGATTAGCCAACTAGGGGTGAATCTTTAATCCTATGTCAGGATGCATCATCCAGACGTAGGATTAAAGATTCCCTCAGGATGCATCATCCTAGGCAGTCATCCTGACATAGGATGACTGCCTAGTCATGATGGAAGCAGACAGCATTACATCTCTCAAAAAGAACACCAAATCAATTTTAACTTCTTTGCTACATTTGTTTCACTTCAAATGCAACTAAGAAATCCAAAAATAGGTTAATTTTATATATTAAATAACTAGCTGTTACCCGCGACTTTGTCCGCGGAGGTTTTGCAAGCAAACCCCATTTACATTCAATATTTCAATAACCATAGTAATCGTTAGGTCTATATAACACCTACCACTGAAGAGAATTGACGAGAATCAAACAAACTATTTTCAATTTGATCAATTTTCTGGAACATTTACAATCGTTCTATAATCGAACCAATATGCAATAACAAATTCGAATTTAAAACGGTTTGAACATTTTTAAAATCGAAATAGATAAAAATATTTATAACAATGTCTGAAATGTTATCAATTTAATACACCTAAGTACTAAATAAAGATTAAATGCAGATAAAAACAAAAAATCGCATCTAAAATAGTACAGTAGAAGCCGTTCTTCCGGTTAAGCCTTAGTGCTCTCCCTCACTCCCCCATGGGGAAATTTCTAAAAATCCCTTCTTAGTGTGCATTGCCATAACGTACCCTACTAAAACGCAGATAAAAACACAAAAACGCATCTAAAATAGTACAGTAGAAGCCGTTTTTCCGGTTAACCCTTAATGCTCTCCCTCTTCCCCCACTTGGGAATTTCGAAAAATCCCTTCTTAGTGTGCGTTTTCATGACGTACCCTAACTGTGTACCAAATTTTACCTCTCTAGGTCCAGCGGTTTGCTCTGGGCGATGATGAATGAGTGAGTCATTCAGTCAGTCAGTCAGTCAGTCAGGACAAGCAATTTTATATATTTAGATTATTTCCGCTTAAACGCGAATCTGACATCCAAAAAAATTGCCGGGAAATAATTCCCACGAAATAAAAACCTCTCCAAAAAGTGTTTTTACAAAAATGTATATAAAAAAATAAAAATAATCTATATATATATAACCCATTCAACGGGTGTCCATCTGTCCCGTAACCGTTTGATAATGGACACTAGAGGCATATATGACACTATTGTGTGTCATATTTCAAACATTCAAATTAACAATTTTAATTCTTATTTAAATTAACAATATAAATTTTTATTATTTATTTGGCCAATAAATTATTATTTGGTCAATATAACAATATAAATAATTCAGTATATTTGTAATAGGAATTTATTATTTCAGGGGCTTATATCTCTCGAAGGGTCACGAGTCGGGGTATGGTTCCTTTGACTTTATTGTTAGAACAGGGGTCTACGGTTTGGGGGGTTGCCACCTCTTCATTCGGAGGGTAAATCTTACCATTCGGACTTTAACAGAGCTGTAGAGCATATTGATAGGAATAAAAAAGTCAAAGGAACCGTGCCTCATGGAAATTTGTAAAGAATGCCCACTAGGGGGCATCCCAGGCTACTAGTTTAAAATAAATGCTTTTATTTGAGAAATATAGCTGTAAGGATTGTTATTCTTTCATTTAACAAGGTGTGAAATTTCACACTTGCAGTTTACATTGTTTACAAACTGGTTGACCTTGAGAACTGCTGGTATCAGCTTTCCCGAGTAGTTCTCATGTATGCTTCAGGGGAATATTGGTTTAAAGCAGGAGGGGAGCTAACTTACTGCATCTGCTCAAATATAATACAATATTGTAGATTTTTATGCTATTAAATTACACGGGGACCAAAAAAAAGGTATGGAAAAAAAATGTACTGAACAAAAAACAAAAAAACCTGATGATGTGATAAAAAACATCCATAGCATTTAAAAAAATTTTATTGAAGTCAAATTGGTCAAATAGAAGTTTGGAATGATTTAATTAATTTGATGAAAAAACTCCCATAAAAAACAATAGCTCAATTAATTACCTAATTAATAAATTGTCAAAAATATTTTTGTGGCAAAAATAATTCATGAAATTTGCAGAGATCATAGATAACGATATATATATGCTGATCCATACATTTTCGGAAAAGTTATAAGTCAAGGCTTTTTTTAGAGGTTCTTTAAAGTCCATGCCCGAGATAACTAGGATAGGGACTGCGCACTGTCACGCGCAGCCCTGAGTTATCTCGAGTTATGGGTGGAAAGGGTTAACTTAACACCAAACCCAGATTTAAAATTTTAAAACAACTCATGTTGTAACTGAAAACACTGAACCAGATACTAAAGAACACACTATATACTAGACTTTTCTATCCATGGCATAGAAAACCAATATCTTACTATAGAGACAAACTCACAATGACTCATCCCACTACATACATTAGTAACCACAAAAGACAACTTTCATCTTTTTATAAAAAGTATCAAAAAATTTATATGATCCAAATACTACCCATCCATCTCTCTCCTGACTGTTTTGTTCTGATTCAGATAGTAAAACTTTAGTGTGAATGAGCTTTTTTTGGATGACTGGGAATACATATGTGTGTGTGACTTGTGTTCCTCTTGTCTCCTTTGCATCATGTCCCATGGTGGGTATATGGATGATTGTTTTGTCAAGACTTCTCTACTTTACTATTCTTTCATTTGTGCCTTGTTTCTTCCTCCCTCCCTCCTGGTGAGAATTTGGCTACTTGCACTTTAAGTGCATTTTGGTTTCCATCAACCAGGTCCCACCCTCTGGTCTGGTACATGGTGAGGTTTTCTTGCTT